ACAAGATATGAAAAATTTTGTCAAAGGACAAAATGTTGGTTCAGTGAATAATTCATTTGGTCAACATCATGGTCACCGTTCACAGTTTCAACAACAGCATCATCATCAGCATCGTCATCGACATTTTAAAAATGTCGAGACAAGAAGTTCGATTGAATTATAATTCGTTCAGATATATTTCTACCGAAAGAGTGCAGCATGGATGCCACACTGGCAAAGATCGGTGGCGCACTGATAATTTATTTAATTAATTGAATTAGTTTTTTATTATGGTTGTTTATGCTGAATTTTGTATTAGAATGCAGCACTGATGAGTACGACATGCCAAAACCATGCGGCATTGCCTCGGCACTTCTCTTATGAGAAGGAAAAGATGGAGTCAGAAAGATGTTCGAAATATTAGAAGTAGACTGTACTGTTAATATAGACAGAAATTGACAAAACGAAATGGTGATCGAAAGCAAACCTTCGGCACTGGTGCGCACCGGTGTGGCGCGCATCGGTGCTCAGAAAAAAATTACTCGGCACCGGTGCGCACTCGTGCACAACCAGTGCCGATAAAATATTTTTTTGTAGACCCATGTCGACTAAAAGTCGCGGAGCGAACGCGTAACGCGATCGCCTATAGACTCGCGAAATTTCGCGATCGCTATAAAGTCGCGATGAAACGCGAGTTTTTCTATACATTTGCTATAATCGCTACGCGACTCGCGTTTTTTATCACTTAATCAATGGCGATTTTCCTTTCTCGCGGTGCGTGTCCTGCTGTCGCGGCGGGACTCTCGCTTGCTCTAATTAAAAAAGCGCGACTCTTCCTCGACTCGCGAGAAAGTCGCGATTTGTATAAGTTCGCTCGCAATAGCTGTTTGCTGCTTTTATCTTTGTTTTTAACTGCCCTATCTTGTTTAACTTTTACAAAATGTTTTGATGTTTTTAAACTCATGTCTGGTGCCCTTGAACTCATGTTCGACTGATGATAATAATATTATAAGACACAAGAAGCGCGTATAGCACAACTAAAGAGTGTGTATATCTAACAGAACTTTGACGCGTTATTAACTGTGAAATCAGGTCAGAAGAGGAAAGCGGGCTTTTATAACAGAAAATTTTATAGAAACAAAGAAGGCGATAATATAGACGTCAGTTCGAAAGTGGTTGAATTTTAAACTGGAACCGTAGATAACACAATCGTATTCAAGCAGGGTTCTTACACAAGTTTTAAAATACGTTTCTTGAAAGGATACGACTTTATCGCGATCGCGTGGCGACTTTGCGAGTTCACAGCGATCGCTGTCGCGACAGAGCGATCGCGCCGCGAGTTAGACGCGTGTGTCGACCTGGGGAGTTCTTATTCAAGAAATTCAAGCAAATCATGTGCTTGAGAAAAAGAAACTGACTAGGGTACACAACAAATGATTAATCACAGAAAAAAATTAGTTGTTCAGTTTAATAACTAATTGTTCGACTAGAACTTGGATTTCAAGAGCCTGCTGATAATATTTCAATGCTTGAGAATATTCGCCTTGATCATTGTAAATCTGTTCAATGTTCTTGTACGTTGTTGCCACACTTGGATGGTTCGGTCCCAAAGTCTTCAAGTCAATTTCGAGAGTTTGCTGATAATATTTCAATGCTTGAGAATATTCGCCTTGGTGCTTGTAAACCAGTCAACGGCGTAAAAACGGGCCGTAATACGCAGCATGATAATTTAAAATAAGTTGATCAAAATTATAATTTTTCAGAATATCTATAGGTTCGGTTTTACTGTGATTAATAACTTCCACGTTACTGTCTGCATCATTAGATAAAAAGCAATCAATATTGTAATACAATATAAGCTGATCTGCAATGGTTGTCGATCCATGGTATGATGCACCAACACTTCCTAAAAAGTCTTCAAAGTTAAATGTGGAAAGGGAACTGATACTTCCGTGTTGGTGAAACTGGTCCGCAAAATGCAAATGTTGATGAAATGTCATTGATTGTCGATCAGGAAAATATTTGGCATTGTGTTTTATACCACGTAATCTTCGATTAAAAGTATGTGGAAATTGTTTACTTTTCAATAATAAGTCTAATTCTCCTCGATCTTTTTTCGATAGCGTTAAAGTTAAATCTGATGTTATCGTTTTAAAATGACGTAACAACGAAGTATGGAGATAGTCAATACAGATGCGGTTAGGAAGATCATTTTCGAAAAGATCGGTAGTTATTGTTGTCGGAAAATCGGGCGAGGATCGTAATTTTATATTTTGTTCATACGGAAATTGGACTCGTCGATTTATATAACTTCCAGGTATGCAGCAAAAAAAGCATGAATTATAGCCCGTATGACCTTTGAATGACAGAATATACGACAAAGCCGGCAAATCACCAATTATACTATGGT